AGTGCCTCTTCCTTAGAGGCATGAGGTTTGCAAACAGCAGCTTGTTCTGCCCTTAGGTGGGAAGTTGCCTTGCCTTCCTTTCCCCCCTTCCCCGTACTGAGTTTTCCCTCTGCTCCTTTATGTGAATAATAATGAACCAATCTGAGGGGTGAAATGACTGAAATGATTTCTCTTTTCTCCCTGTTTCTCTTTGCAGAACTGAAGATTATATGAAGTTGTCCCTAGCCTCCTCCTAAAGGCATCCCTTGGCATCTTTAAAGGCTTGAGAGAAATATCAAAACCAACCAAACACACCCATAAGAGAAATCCATAAACCCTCAAAACTTGGGATCCCCTCTTGGTCTGACGTTGAGTTCTTCAAAAACTCCTGTGGTATCAAGTTTGAGGAGATCCTGTTATGTGGCTCCATGGACTGGGGCTGGGCCCAAGCAGTGACTTGAGTTGTGTTTGGGGAGCTGGGATGAACCTTCCTCCCTCTCCCCCAAACAGAACCCTAATGGGACACTAATTATGCAGCGAGTCTATTAGTTGTGTTCATTACCATGTATTAGGCCTGCCATGAAATCTGTGCTGTTCCTTTATTGGGGTAGATGAACCGTAGCTCTTCTCCCAGACCAGCCTGGACCTTATTCCAGATTATCCAGTTTCTTCCTGGGGCCAAACTCTTCTTTATTGCTGGGTGGGTGGGAACTGCCTATGATTTCAAATGTTGTACAACGCTGCTTTATTCTGAGGGGTGGAAGGACAAAGTGGGGTCCAAGTGAGGTTTTGGCAGATGGTAGCTGGACCGACTCAAATCTTGCTTCTGTAGTTATTTTAGCAGAGAGCTGATTCTGTAGGTAGACAGAAGACTTGAGAAGTGATGAAGATTGATAGTTTAGCTGTTCTGCCTGTGGTGAAGGTTTAGAAGACCACACTTTGGCTGCTGTTAATATCTGGATTCTCACTTTTCCCTATTCTGGTTTCCAAGAGGAGAGACCCAAGGAGGTAACTGGCATCCCAAGGGGTTCCCTCTGGCTCAGGATGAGATAGTGGGGGTCCTGGCAGAGATACTCTCCCCATTCCTCTGCCTGCTTGCTGTTCCAGTGCCCTCTTCTCTAGCTAGCCCTGCGGCCTGTCCACTGGAGCCAGAGCTTAGCATTGCTCCTCAGCTCTGTCACATATAGAAGATGAATTCGGCTGGGCGTGCGTACCTGCTTCAGACACAGCAGGTTTCAAATCAAACCCAGTTGGTTGGCGAGAGTGAGAAGAGGGCTCATGTCCTCTAGCGAAGTTGTAGGAACACCAGGCTGGGTGGGGACGTGTCCTTCAAAGTTTTGCTCTCACTGCAGGACAACTGCCTCTTGGCTAACACTGCAAACATATCAGAAACCCAACAGGCTGCTTTATTTTTTTCCTCCTTTTTAATTCCTATGCAGACAATACTTGAAACCTTGTACACAGTTGTCCTTTCCAGCGCCTGGGGTTGGCAAACTCTTCATAAAAGGGCTCATTTAAAGAACAGCAGGAGGCTTCAGCTTTAGAAGAGGCTGGGCTGCTCTTTCCCAGCTGACAACTGCAAGTGTGTTCAGTGGTTTGCATATGAATTTAGGCACATCTGGACCCTCTGCTTCAATACCCCGCTGGTACAGCTGCTGTCTCCCCTCGGTGCTGGCTGGCTGACTGTGTCCTGAGCACCCAACTATGCAAAGAATGCCTTATATTCATTGTGTTTCAGTTACATGGCAATATGTACATCGAGCAAAGTCTATAGTTGAGTCCAGATTTTTGCTAGTGGCAGAGAGTCAAACTATTTCTTCAACTCAAATGGCTGTCTGGGTATTTTTTACTTTTGTTTGTTTCGTTTGTTTGTTTTGTATCTGATGGTGGCTCTTATACAAAGGACTGTAATTCTAGTGGCTTGAATCTGTAAAAATTGCCTTTGTTTGGTCCAATAAACCTTTGAATAGTTTATTTGGTTTGTGCTTGTTCTCCCTGCCTCCAGCAGCTTGCAACTTCTTCCTCAAGAGATTTGTGTTGAAAATCTGGATTTTAGGTTAGAGGTACAGTCTGCTCTCCTATGCCTTTTACCCCAGAAATGATTCCACTGGCTTCCTTAACAATAGAGTCAGACCAGTGGCAAAAGTCAGGGATTTTCCCTTATTTCTGCTGGAGCAATGCTGTGTTGCAGCAGGATCCTGGTCTTGTTTGGCTGTAATTAGCAACGTTACCAATGCAGAGATCTGCCCAGGATTTCAGCTGCGCTGAACACGGGTGCCCAGCAGTTCCTGAAACAGATCTCCTTTAACATACTTATGGCTCACTGCCCCAAACCTCTGGTTAATTGTAAAATTCTTGGACTGAAATGTCTGAAAAGAGCCTAAGGGAGTTAAGTATGCAAATTCAATTGCCTATCAAGAAGAATTAGGCTGCTTTGAAAAGCCTTAATTAATCTATTTTGTCAGCAATAAGTAAAATCCTGTCTGACCTCCTGAATCCAAGTAGTTTTGAGGACAGCAATTATGGGAAGAGAGAATGATTTTACTTGTGAATGGGGTAGGTTTGATCTGAAATAATAATAATAAAACCACAACCTGGAGCAGCACAAAACTCTTTTACAAGGTTGCCTTTGATAGGAGAAGCTCCTTTTTGAAATCAGTTTCATGTTTTTGATGCCTTACTCTTCCTTCCCACACTCTTTTCTCTGTATCTTTGTTTTGCTCTCCCTTTGTTGTAGATTATGTAGCACAGAGAAGTAACAGCAGCAACAGCTCTTTTTTATTTCTGTTTTTAAAATGCACAGTCATGATATTTGAAGTTGAGGCGAGAGCCAAAATGCATTGATGTTGCACTTAAAAAAACAGAGTTAATATTTTCTGTGATCTTGATTTTGGAAGTTTGGAGACAAGGAAATGGGCCTTTGGGGAGGTTTCAGCAGCGTTAATGTCTGTGAAATAACAAGCGAGGGATGCAGACCTGTGCAGAGCACTCCCAGCTGGCATGCATTTCAGACATGTGAGGCAAAGCTACGTATTGAATTTCTTCACACCAGACTGGAAATGTGCCCTCCAGTGCCCAGTGGTGATCAAAAATAAAATATTGATCACTATTGACCGCGCTTCCCTTCCTCTCATCTGCAAAGGGCAGTTGGATGCTCTTCATGTGAGCATAAAAAATTACAGAAGAGACAGACAAATCCAGATGCTTCATAGCCTGTGGCCAGAGCTTTCATAACCAAAAGATCCCACATCATTGCCAGGATACGTTTGGCCTCAGGACAATTGCATTTATTTGCAATAGAAAAGAATTGGCAAATGAGCTTTCTTTTGCCAGGATCTGCCCTATCTGCTGCAATGGTGCTGGGAGGACAGCAGAGCCCTGCTCAGCAGGAGCTCAGCACGAGAAGGCTCCTCTGCTTACTCCTGAGTGTCTCCTTCCATTGATCTTGTTCATGGTGTGGTTGCTTCCGATGTGTTGCTGCTGGCCTCTCTTCTTTCAAGCAAAGATTGTGTGCTGGATTTGCCTAGCAATAGATATTTCTACCCCTCTTGTTACTGGAACAGCTAATACCTTGTCCACAAAGGACTTGCAGGAAGACTACCCCCGGTTAACTAATGGTGTGCATTTAAATGGATTAATTACAGTGTATTAAAGCCTCATGCAGAAAGCAGGCTCTGATGGGGACAGAGGACTCTTGACAGGGAAGTAAAAGCCAGATTCTGTCTTTCTAGCTCAGGGTGGGTCTAAAGATGCTAAACAAGCAGGAGGAGCTGGGATTGCAGTAGATCTGTGCTCTGAGCTGCTGGGCTATCACTGAATTCTGGCCCCACAGTCACACAGGGGCAAAATGAGCCTTGAAGTAACAGAAACTGCTTCTCCCAGCCATAAAGCACCCTAACCTCATTAGTTCTTTTAATCTCACCCAGGAGAGTCAGGTATGAAGTGTGCTAGGCAATGCTGCAATCTGACCCCAATCAGGTAGGAGTCCAGCACTGAGAACCAGCCCACAGCCAGCCCTGACTGGAGCCAAGATTTACCTTCATTTTTCCTTAAAAGAGGATTTTGTAGACATTAAAATCTGTTGCATAGGTTCCTGAGCTACTTGCAAACAAATGACACTCCTGTGCTGCCCATCCTTCTGTATCCCTGAGTGATGATCAGTAGATGTATGACCAATATAAGCCCTCCTAGAAAGCTTTTCCAAATAAAGCACTGTGACAGATACCATTCTTTGTGCTTCAGGACATAAAACAATGGTTAACTGCTTCAGGTTAGGGAAAAATCAGGATATCATCTGTTAAGGGGAGAAGGGTGTTAATAATCTACTCTGGAACTTTCAAGGGCTGGAAATCTGAGCTAGGTGGTCCACTGGTCAGCCTCTGCCCACACAGGGGTCATCTTGTTGCTGGAATAGCTACATAAGTCCATCTCACTATTTGGCATTGGCAGATGAACTCTCAAATCAAGCAGATTTCTATCTATGATCTTATCTTCCCGTGGCTGATTAAAGCCGTGTCCACACTGGAAGGTAGTCGAGTCTCTAGTTGTAAGGTAGGGTATGCATTTAAAATTTAATAGCTATTCCTGAATTATTCTCTATCTACATACTCTCATTACAGAACGAAAGGACACTGTGCTGATGAAGCTTAATCCAGTTTCATTATGGTGCCTGATAAATTGTGATGTGTTGGTCTTAGGAAATTCCACATGTCGAGTTATCCTGAAACTTTGAGCATAGTATAAGCCCTAAGAAACTCCAAAGCTGGTGTGAAGGCAGTCTGGTTTATTTCTATATTTAAAGAACTGCAGAGAGATGTGCAGGATGATTGAATAGATGGGAAGGTGGAGGAAGGAGAACCAGAGGCTATCTCTTTCTAATCTCACATGGGCAGATTTCCTGCAGCCAGTAAGGCTTGTAAAATGACCTGCGTTTGGCTTCATGTTTCATTTGACCATGGTGTTCTTGCTGAAAGTGCCTTCTGGGGACTGGCTATTCCTACTTCTCCTTTTCTTCTTGACAGGGTTCAGAGAGAGCAGCTGGCTGCCATCTTCAGGCTCATGAAGGAAAAAAGTGACACATTTGGCGAGATGTCTGAAGGAGACATGATGGAGCAGCTTAGACTGTATGATATATAACCTTGCAGCCAGCGGAGACTATCCCCAAAAGTCACCTTGGCCCTTATTATGCAGCACACTGGACAGTATAGTGCTATAAATGTATTTTGGTAGTTATTTTGCAGCTCCAGTTTGTTTTGCAAATGCATATATAGGCCTGTGATATATATTTCAAAAGACTTGTAATTTCTCACCCTTTTAATCATTTTTTCTTGAAGAGTTATTATGTTTTCATCTTGTACAGAGATTTTTACCTCTTTCTGGCTGGGTCATATGTCTCAGTCACACAAAGTAGTTAAACTCGCAACTTTTTTCTGGCTGTGCTTTATAAAAATGAATTTTCAAACCTAGCCTTTATCAGTTTGATATCTGAAGAAAGCCAAAGATTATAGATGTAAAATGGATGAAAATAATAGAATCTTAGAATAACTCAGGTCGGAAGGGGCCTAAGGAGGTCTGTAGTCCAACCTCCTGCTCAAAGCAGCATCAACTATGAGATCAAGCCAGGTCACTCAGGGCTTTATCCTGTTGGGTCTTGAAAACCTCCTAAGATGGAAACTGCACAACCTCTCTTGGCAAAGAGGCTTCTAATCCTACAGTTAGAAAACAAATAGCCAAAGGCAAGGCATTAGCGTGCTGATTAGAGGTGAGTTGCCTCTCATCTCCTTGGAAGGAACACTTCATCCTCCTTCATGCTGGCTTTTTGAAACAAATCCAAGTCGGTTCCGGCTGACCCAATTGAGTTCATCTTCATGCCTGAGAAAACAGCACCTAACTTCAGCCTGGAACCACAAACCTCTTTGCTTCTTGACACTGGTAGAAGTAGCATAGAAAGGTAGCTGCATTTTTACAAGGATGATTGTGTCCAATTCAGATCCTGTTCTCCCAAAATAATAATAATAAAAAAAAAAAAAAAAAAGTGGGGAAATTACATCATTGGCAAAGCTCTTGAATTTATCAAGTATTTTGCACAGTTTTGACCAACTTTTGCTGGTTTGGATAGAGTAAATCAATGAGCATTCCTAATTTTAACTGAATATCTTCAGGTGAACTTCCCTCACCTCTGAAATCCCGTTAAATACTTTATTATCAGGAAGGATTTTCTCAGTTTTAATAACTGCCGACAAGGGGAGGCAACATTTTCTGACCCAGCTTTAGGGAAAAAAAAAAAAGAAAGATCCCTTAAAAGATTAGGTTTGCTTTATTTTGTGTAATCCTTTTGAGCCTGGGAAACCAAATATCTCATTATCTGGTCACTGTTTCCCACCACAGTATATTCTACAACACTGTACTATTTGACTTCTAAGAATCATTTTATCTTCTAATCATTTTCACTTAGGTGAAGGCACATTCATTAGGAAATCAAGCTGCTTTTACTAGCAAGTCATGGCTTAATCTAATGCCTGAAAATTATCTCTTCTTATTCAACATGAAGGAATGAAGTGGGAAAAGGAGTCTCAGGATGGGAAACATCATGCTACTTTGTTGTGTCCCTAGGCCACAGTTTCCTTTGTCAAACTGTGCAAGGGGAGAAAGGTAGGAAATTGGTACGTGGGACTTCTCTCTAGTTCAAAAGTGAAAGCAGGATCTTTTCCAAAGCTCTCCGTGAAAGCAAGCAAAGCAGAGTTAAGGTTTAGTTGATTTTTAGTCTTTGTAGACTTCACTTAATATTTTATAAATATTTTTATATTTCTTCTTTTATATTTGGGCCTTCTCTGAATAGGAACACTACTGGAAAAAGAATAAATTTCCTCAAACTCCTCTGCTTCACATTATGCCAGCGAAGATATGGAAGAGCAGCTGGCATTAAACCTGTCCTGCCCCTACCAACTCGGAGCAGTGTCACCAAAATGTTGGTGATGACAGGACAGCGGTAAAAGATCTGTCATTTACTAGGCCCAAATCTAAGAAAGCTATGAAATGAAATAAAAAAGCCTCTGCCCAAGATATAAACCAAAAGGATGTCTAGATGTAAAGCCCATGGGTTTTAAAAGGTACGTTTTCTCTGCGTGTGGTACGAGGCTGTAATAAGGGAGCCCACAGATACCGAGAAAGCCGGTCAGAGAAACACTCTGAGACTTGGTTCCAGAACACATTATATTGACCTAATACATGTATATTCATTGAAATTCCGAGGAATCACCTACATATTCCAAACATTTCCCATAACCATTTAGCATATGTAAATATCCTTCATGCTTGCACAGTAAAATGAGTCGGTGGTCTTCACCGTATCGGACTCCTCTTGGATTCTGAGCAGTGGTATCTCTTTTACATGCTTGGGACAACATTCCTTGAGGAATGTTTGGTCCTTTCTCAGGCTTAAGCCCTTCTAACCACATTTGCAAAAGGTCCTAATGTTATTAGCGACTTGTGAGGAATTTTATTCAGAGCCTTTTAGCATATGTAAATATCAAACCAGCGAGGTGATAAATGCTCATGTATCAGTATTAATTACTGATAACCATTGAATAACAACCTTATTCAGAGGTTGTTACAGCTGCTGGGTGATATCTAAGCAACGAAGGGAACTATAAACCTTTCAGTTTCTAATTTCTGAGGTTTTACTCTTTCACCACTGGACAGAGTCTGCGGGTGGCGGTGGGGAGGTGACGTTCGGTTCGAGGCCACCGGCTGCTGCCCAGCTTGGCTGACCCGTTTCTTTTTCCCTCAGGACTCGTCAGTATTTCCCCAGGGAATGTCCCCGTTGCCACGGCAGGATCTGCCCTTCGGGCACTGTCCTTCACAGAGCGCCGGCTGCTTCCCCTCGGCCTCTGGCAGGGCTGTGGGTACAGGGGGCCGGGCTGTCGGGTACAACCGTGCCCGCAGGACACACGGCAGGAGCGGGTGACGGGATCACGCTGCGAAGACCCTCGGGGAAACCTCTGACAAGCCCCGGGGCCGCCAACACGGGTGGGAGGGTCACGAATCAGCGCTGGAACTGAGGGACTCGCG